AAATTAGTGTGTTGGCCAGCCAATCGACAGCGATGAAATTCTAACACGACAAGGTAACCATCGGCAAACAGCCGGTCTCCTCTTCCCAGTAACCCTACTAGACCAGGGAGCTGATGTATTGCGTATGTATAATCATATTGTATTGTCACAAACACGTGTATTCTCTATGTATATATATGATATAAAACGTGTTCATGGTATCGTGTATGTATAATAATACAATAATTTTCAGTTTCATACGATGAAGAAATTCCATCGATTTCAACTACGTGGTGTTACTAGAGTTACAAAATAGTCACAGCATGAGCGGGTCATTGGCTAGTGGTAGCCAGATATTTGCCTTGCAACCTGGCATCACCACGTTCGGTACATGCTCTGACTGCGACATTGTTTATCGGGGTAAGTGACTACTAAGTACGTGCCGTGAGCATGAGCATGAGCCTGTATAGCACTATATTATATATATACATTACAACATGTGCGCTAACTACGTGAGTGAGTAAACATGTTTTCATGCAAGCTGTGTGGTAAAGTTCAACTATTCGTCATAGATATACGCTAATACCGCTATAGTTACTAATCATAGACGGCTAGCTGGGGGGGGGGGGACAGACGTGGTCTTGTGAAGCTATTGCCAAACAAATTTAATAGATGGATATGTACATGTATGGCCGCAATGATGAATGGATGCGAACAGATATTTACGTGCACATGATTGTACATTGATACATGGATCCACACAAACAAATGGACGTGTATATATTATACCCAGTTTTTTACTGTGTACACATGTGGGAATGCATGCCTGTATATATAATTCTCACACGTGCTCAAAAATCATTCAAAAAAAAAAAAAAACAAAAATGTAAAAACCCAAAAATAAAAAAAGTAACACCATGTAGACTCACAGCTACGTATACATATATACACATACAGTAGTATGTACATATACACATACAGTATGATAATTTAGACACACGTACACATGTGCGCATGCAGAAAAACGCTAAAGTATAGACAACCACATCTAAACATGCACGCACACATGCACACACTTTGCAGGATCTACGTTCTTTAGTCAGCTACGGGTCGTGATGCGCACGGGCTCGTTGGTCTACTAGGGTCCGTGCGCTAACTACCCGGTCGTTGGTCCTTATGGGACTGTTTGTCCCTACGGTGACATCATGCTAGGCACACGCTAATTTCTTTTTCTTTAATTGTTTGTTAATCTTAATTTTTAATAAATTGTTTTATAAATTTAGATTTTTAACGTGTGTAGTGTTCCACAGTACGTCCCTTAAACTGGTGTATGGTTCAACCAAGGGTGCATGACCATTATTTTGAGGTGAATGAAACTCAAGACGCAAAAACACATAAGGAAATTTTGTCGGGGTGAATGAACATTTGTGTGAAGAAGGTCCTCGAGGGTGAATGACACTGAATATAGTTTTCCAGAATTATTTTCTTGCCTCCTCCTTCCACTCTGTCCTGGTGCAATACTTCAACTGGCATAGTGACAAGCCCACGCTCATTACTGCGGCATACTCAACTTTACGGCGTCATCAGAGTTCAAATACAAATTAAAAATTTAAAGAACAGTAAGCGCTCTAGGTTCTAGGTTGTTATTTCAAGCCGTAATTTAGGTTATAATTCGGCGTCTACCATGAAAAAAGTTTCAGGTTCAATCAGCAAATTAGAAATAATTTTAAAAAATGTTCTTAAAACACTAACGACTACAGTTTGATTACACGACGGTCGGCGGCCACTCAAAGCCAGCCACAGATGCCGAAAAGTATTCGGCAAAACCACTTTCGAGCCAAGGGCTACAGACCCGAGGAGTATTTCTTTATTTATTCCATTTGAAAAGCAACAGGATGTAATCATCTTAAAACGACATTATAGTTTCAGTTATAATATGGATAAATTTGCCGATAAATGAATATCGTCGATTTAAAATAGCATTCCTAGGTATAAAATTATAATTGCAACTTTTGTGATTTCTAGCCCTCGTTCATTTGAACCGCAAATTAAAAATGCAAATACGCATACTTTTCTCAGGGTGGCAGCACGTCGCGGGTGCCCATGGCGCCGTTCAATTTCGTAGAGTGTTGATATGGTAAATAATTAATTAAGTATCTGGTGACAAATACACTATGGGTAATAGAGATCTTTGTTAAACGTAAGTACAGTTGTATGCAGTAAAATCCTAGAGGCTACTGTCCCTTTAAATTTAAAAAAATTTAAATTTAAAAATTCAAAATTTTATATAAATTGTTTTTTGGCATGTACTCTACCCCGCTTAATAACCGTAGGACCAACGACCCGTAGGACCAACGACCCGACCCGTAGGATTATAGATCGGTTCCCCTTTGCAGTTCATTATGAAAGCATGCTAGTGTTGTCTATAGCATGCTGACATTCTAATTAATGTAAAGCCCAATATAGAGCATTCCAATTCGGGCGGGGAACCCCCAGACATTGCCAAATAAGGTGTAGTCGCAATGCAACTAGCAATAAGCAAGGCACGCTGTGGGTGATCGCATATAATTGCATAGTGCCGAGAACCGAGAACGTATTAGTTTAAAATACGAGCCTTTTCTCACCTGCGACGTATTGCAGAGAGACGAGGTGGACAAGCCGCTGGCCCTGATCGAGTATAACGCAGCAGGTGACTGCTACGTCATGCAGGATCTTGGCCTGCCGACTGGAACCTACGTCAACAACTGCCGCGTGGAGAATTCTCGGCTTCAACTGGTGGCCGGTGATGTCATCCGCTTTGGAGACTGCGGGGATCGGTTTAGATTCCTGACGAATTCAGAGGTACGTGTTTGCATGGGTGATTTTGTAATGCACCGTACGTCAAACACTTACGGTTGACTGGTCAAGTGGTAGAGTGTGCTGTTTGCTGTATACCCGTTTCTCACCGTTCACTAGCCTGTAGCAGTGGTAGAATTTACATTTTTCAGGGAAAGGCATAGTTGTTTCTTGGGTTTAATGAGCATTTCTTGGGCAAGTCAGAGGGGCAATGAGGCAAAAATATTTCCTTCAAACTGAGTTCACTAAGGAAACTTAAAGGGATACATTTCTCTAGGTTCTTCAGATATTTTCAGCTAAGATAGGTTAAAATTACGCTTCATTAAAAGTTTTATGGTTCAATATTTATTAGAAATATTTAAAAAAAATGTTTTAAAACTGACGGCTATACCGTTGCTTACAACGACGGTGGCGCCACTGGCAGCGCATCCACTGAAAAAGTTGCGCAAAGCAACGTTTCGGCTGCAAGCTGCACATGGTTGCAGGAACGTTACATTATCACAACGTTGTGGCAACGTTCAGGGGAGTCTACAAAATAACGTTGCCACAACGTTGTATCACAACGTTTTCACAACGTAAGTGAAACGTTGTGACAACGTTGCCACAACGTTATATTGTTAGCTGGGTACAGACTGAGGGTACGTGTTTCTTATTTATTAATTTAAGAGCAGAAGGATTGTAATATCTTATAAACGACATACAGTTTCAGTTATAATATGAATAAATTTGTCCTAAAATGAATATCGCTCAGTTGAGTTTAGGTGAAACTCGTACGGTTCCGCGCGTTGCAAATTTACGTGTACACTTCACAGTAATGCTAGTATTTACGTTTAGTCGCTTTCGTCGCGCCGAATCTCCGATCATCAACCGGCGAGGTTTCTCGTGGAAGGCTGCACGGGTGACGAAGAAAGGCTGCCCCAGCTGGGCAGATCTGTCGTCACCAGCTCTCTACCGAGCGCCCACAGCCTCGTGACGATCCCCCACCCACGCGTGAGTTGCAGCGTTCTCGTGATTCTCTATGCAAATCAATATATGTATTTGAATTTCATGCAATAAAGATTACAGCAGAATATATACATGTACTGAAGACAGTCTTTTTCATGGAGAAATAATCTGATGGATGCAATAGCGTTGTATACTCAAGTTCGTGATATAAGTCTGTATAGCACATGTAAATATATATTTGTTTGCTTTAAGCCTGCCACTGCCAACACGACGATGATAAGTTCTAGGTCAGATATATCATCTGCTACCTTTACCGTTCAACCTCCCAGTCTGGATAGAGGAGGTAAATATGCCGAACTGATTTCTGTGACAGGGTATTTGAGTATAATCGTGTAGCATTTGTGGAAAAATTCCCTGTCAAATTATCGTACTCATGTCGCAAATGAATGCTACACGCGTATGATAATTTGAAGTGAATTGTGGAATCGAAGCTCGAATCGGACGAGAGTTCTTCGTAGAGAATCGTCGTCAATCGTCGTGCGGATACAGGTGTTCCTGTGAGACGTGTCTACGATCGACCGTTCTCTCCTCGTAGATGGAAGCGTCTCGGCGAGGGACGGCTCCCGGCGTCTCCGTGCGAGGAGGCCGCGGACAGAACCTCCTGCCCGCAAAACCGCGCTGTCGCTGCTGCAACACGAGCTCCCCGACCTGAGGCGCCACCTGTTGGGCGACAGGGGAAACATGCGCGCCGCGTGCTGCGCGGACGCCACGCGCCGGATCTCTTTGATCGAAGGCGAACTGTTGCTGCTGGCCTCGGACATCAGTCGTGCGGGGAGTGATCAGGTGCTTTCTCGCGTTTGATAATATTCTCGATATCGTCTTGAACTATACGTATCCGGATATATGTGCAGTGTTTCCCCTGGCCAAAAAGGTCAGCGAGGTGTTGAAGTTTTTTTTGGTGGTTGCGCAATCCGAGGAGCGAGCAATGCGAGCACCGAAGGTGATCTAATTTTTTTTTAAATGGTGCAATTTGGTGCATTCTGCGCTATTCTGAACACTGCGAAACACACGCGCTATTCTATATGAAATTAGGGGGCTGAAAATAGGGCAAGTCTGAGGTCCGGGACCTGCCGATTTCACGCTCGGGCCTTCGTAATTTCTAAGCAGAAAGTCCATCAGACCTAATTGAGACCATTAGGCATTTCGAGGGTCTGAGGGTCCGAGGTTATCTGGGTCAGCTTATGCTTAATTTCTATCCTGTATGGGTACGAATGCAGATCCTGAATCAAAATTCTCCTCAGAGACTCCCTCGGAAAGCCCAATTGTTGGCTGCGCCAACGTAACGACTTCTTTGGACTGCGGCCAACCGAGGTCCTGACTGAGGTGATGTTCTCCTCTGTCCTTGCACTCCTTTGTCTCCCTGAGTGTGTGGGAGTATTCCCTTTGGCATTGAGGTTCTTGACAGTCCCGTGCACCCTGAACTTCTGTGCCCATCTTAGAATGAGTCCTTTGTTTGGATAGGTGCGGCAATTGAATTCCCTCTTGAATCGTGCTTGTACAGTTTTGAACGATTTGGTCGAAAAGTACGTTTCCACGGACCATGATTTCTGTCGAAGAGTCCAAGGCATCTTGAAAAACTCTTGATTCTAATCTGATTGGCAACTGTTCACCTTCTTTAAATCTGAAAAATGAAAGGGTTAACATCAATATCAAAAAAGTTATTAACACTTGTTTGGGTTGCATTTTTTTGGGGCACCCTGTACTAATACTATACATACGTACTATACGTAGGTATACTATACATACATGCTATACGTAGGCCTACTATCAGGAGCGGATTCAGAGTGGGGGTCGAGGGGGTCCGTACCCCCCCTTTTTACCACAAAAAAAGGAAAAAAAGCATACAGTACACACGCACGCACGCGCGTGCGCACACACACACACACACACACA